GACAAAGCCAGCAGCTTTCAGTGTTTGAAACCCTGAGACTCGCGTGACCACTGAAAGTTGTATGGTGTCTGTGCTAATAGCTGTTTCCCCAAGTTCAATTTATCCCACAGGAATTAACACGAAGTGGCACTAAAGATGACAGGAACCAGCTTCTCCATCAAGGTGAGGGTGGGGAAGGATGGGACAGATGGGCTTGGCTGGACTCTTGTCGTGTGCATCCCGGGGCAGCTCCGCTGACCACCGCACCCACCAGCCCTGCTGCGGCTCCGGCAGATGCAAAGTCTGCAGAACGAGCAGTGGGGAGGAACTGACAATCTAAGGTGCTTGAAAAAAAAGCGAGATTTGTTTTCCCGTTTCCAGAGATGCTTCCACAAACAGCTGTGCCATCACCTCCTGAGTTTAGATAACCTCCTTGCAGCCTTTGGCCAGCTGAGAGCGGACACGTAGCGGTTTCCAGCCCATGCAAGGCTTACCAGCACGGATGCCTGACTCCTTCCTGCGCTGCGGGGCCACACCTACATGGGGCTGATGGATCAGGAACGCACCTAACCCTCCAGCTGCCTCAAATCACGGCTGACGATCACTGCAGCCCGGAGGGGTGACTGCTGCCTGGGTGGATACCTGCAGTCTTTTTTAGGTGAAGTTCCAGCTGCAGCAGGACCGTAGCATGACAACCTTCAGCTACAGGCATAAACGCCCAGGGCTGTGAGCGAGCCTGCGTGGTCCCACTTATCACGGCCACCTGAGCTAATGCCAGGGCACAAACAGGAGCGAACTGCAGTAACCCCAAAGCACGAAGCTGACAGGGATTCCACAAAGGAACAGAACCTGATGGAGAGGTGACCACGAGCCCCTCTGCCCCAAAACGCCTGCCCCTTTTGCTGTGCCTGACAGCCCTTAAGCTCCTCTGCTCTCAGGCTACAGGAGATGGAGAAACCCACGCGGGCCTCGTGGCCCCACTGCACAGGACCACCTGGCACTGCTCTCTCTTCCCTCAGATGGTCACTACCAAGGAGGTCTCCATTCCCTTTCAGGCACAGATCATCCCCAAAATCACTAGCAACATCCCCCCTCTGTCAGACTCTTGCTCCTGCCCAGCCTCCAAAGTAAAAGAAACTGCACCGGCTTCCCCCCGCCAAACCCACCCCAGCGGGTGCCCAACTTCCACGGCCTCTCCCCGCATCAGCTGGAGAAGGGAGGAGGAACACGCGGGGGAGCTCCTGGCCGGCGGCGTGCGCAGGACAGAAGGAAACCCACCAGAAACCGGAGAAAACAGCAGGAAAAAAATTGCACGGGCCCCCCACCCCCCGAGCTGGTCAGGGTGGGGGGGCAGGAGCGGGGCGGGATTCCCCGGCGTAGCAGGGACCGAGACCCCCGGCCGGAGGGGCGTGCGAAGGGCCGGGGAT